ATTCTCCAGCAATATTAGAGATTTATATATTTGAATGGTATTTTTCCCTGCCTTGTTAAAAGACAGGCTCTTTCAATCACATACAGCCTCCATATACTTGAACAAAAGTATCTGGATTCTGGAAGATTCTGATTTTATGGCTGATTTCAATGTAAGGTAAACAAATGGTTCTTCCCTGGTAACTTCTCTGAGTCTCTAAAATAAAAAAAAAAAATAAAATTAATCAGGTTGGTTGATTTAAAATTTAATTTTAAACATGTTTGCTTTGCAAAACAAAATAATAATACTAATACTACAGAAGTAGCATTATTAAGCAGTATGGACTTTCTGTTCAAGCTGCTGAAGGATTAATCTTGGTCTGCTGAAGTGTTGAAGCAGTTTCTGACAAGCATCTTTGTCTGCAAGCAAGGTGGCAGTATTTCCTTCATTTCTGTTCATTCAACCAGCTCACTTAAATGGATTGCCTCTGCTGATTTTTTTTTTTTCATTATTTCCATCCATAAATAAAAAAAGAGGTGGAGATTACAGGATTGTCTCTACTAGTTCTACACACTAGAACGACTGAGAGATCAAACCAATCACATTCTCTTCCTGCAAGTATCCTTCCATGTTTTTAATAAAAGCTTTTCAATGCAAAACACCTTTAGAGAATCTCCTTAAGAAGAAGGATCAAATACATTTATCTTATTCAACTAAGAGTTTTTTTTTTCCTCATTATTTTCTTTCAATTCTCGTATTTATCCACTAAGATTTTGGTATGAACAACAAGTAAAAGTGTAACAACTACCTAGGGGGGAAAAAGAGAAATTAAACAGTCCTTATCTTCCTAAATAGTGAAATGTACGTACAAATTAGGCTAAAGTCTGAAATGTCTCAGATGTATGTAACTATACCACATCCTCTTTGCTAGCAAAAAGAAATGGTAAATTATGCATGAAGACTATAATCAGCACATTTTAATGGTTACAAAACAGTAGAAAATCAGTCTTTAAGACACCATACAACTGTAATTTAATATAAATAATCATTTAAATAAAACTATTCTGTTCACTGGCTTAAGAGTAATTTTCATGATGACTGATTTAAAGCACTCCTCCAAAGTGTTACTGTTTACTCATTCCACGGCACAGGAAATATTTTTTCTGCAAACACTGCTGCCAGACTCCTGGCTTTTTCTAGATGCAGTCACACAGTTACTTCTGTAAACAGGATCATGGCATTGGTTCCCTTAGATGTGTGGGAAGCTCCTGGCAGCCTCTTGCAGAAGCCACCCCTGTGGGCCTCCTCTGCCAAAACCTTGCCACACAAACCCTATACAAAGCTCTGGTAGCATAAAGAAACTGTGAAAAGAGTACTTTTTTTAGTACAATGTACCTACTTCACATTACCTAAAGTGATAGCCTCCTATTCACAGCCAATTGCTCATGTTCTTTCTTTACACCACAAAAAATGCTGTTTTAAATTGATATGGTTCCACCATCTTCCTTCTGTGGTGATAGTACCACCATTCATGAATTCTGAAAGTTTAAAAGCTTCAATTTACCTCAAATACCTTCTTGCCTCAACTCTCAGCAGTTCTTGACTTTACAAATCTTCAGACCAACATCTTCAAGACAGCTGTGAAGTGTTCCCTCAAGAGTGAATGGAGTGAATGCTGCTCTCTATAATGGTTTTGATGAATGGCGATGAGAGATCTCTGAAGGTTGCTCTTAGAGTATAAGGTTTATTATGGATGGTGAAAGGTCTTGCTTGGAGCTGCCAGACACAGCACGTGGCAAGGCCTGAGGGGATGGGGGAGGGGAGAGACAAGGGGTTCTAGGAGAAGGTGGAAGATCTAAGAGAGGAGAGTTCCAAGAGAGGGGAAGATCTAAGAGGGTGTCTGGCCCTCGGAGACCCCTTATCAGGGGGCTTCAAGGTGGGCTGGAACAAGACTTGGGCCAATGGGGTTATGGACACCTGATGTTTCAGGGGAGAGTTACAGGTGTGGGATGAACCGTACATTTTGGGGGGTTGAGATGGAGCAGTCCATTTGACTTTTGGACCTATCTGTAGGTATGGGTATTGTCCAGCCAGTAGGGGGGATTGTTTTCATCCTGGCTGTACTATTGTAAATCTTTTGCCAGGCAATCATATTTATCCATCCTTCCCAACAAGTGAAAGGAACAGCTTTTACCACAACATGCTTTTTTTCATTTGTGTTATACTGAATGGTAACCATTTGTCCAAAAAAAAAAAAAAGAAAAAAAAAAATCCAACCAAGGAAAATATTCTTCCCCAAATTAGAGACTGCAATGGGATATTCTGCCCAGAATCTGAAGATACACCTTTCACAGCAGCATAAATAATACTTCTGGTATAACTAAAAAGCGTGACCCTCGTGTCACATGCAGCCCTTTTATCCTGTCTTTTTTGTTCTATGTGGGACAGCATAAATTAGTTGCTCCCACAGGAATTCATTCCACAAACTCAAACCAGCCCTTCTTCTGCTTGCTCTGTTGTGCTGAGATATTAAGCTGCTGCCCGTGCCATCAGCCCATCATTTTTTTTGGGTGCCACCCACCTGAATGTTGAGCACCTTGAATCTAGCCTTGGCCAAAGCTCTCCAGAAGGCAAAATGCCACATGATTACTAAATTTTTGAGGAATAATTATTTCAAAGTCAATCAGACTACATATTTTGTAGTTCCCTGAGATGCACTGAAGGAATGCAGATCCTGGGAGTGTACAACCTTTGGCTCACACATAAAGCAGAAAGATGCAGTCAGCTATAAATAGCATGTAGGAATAATGCAACCATTACTGTATTCTGCTATAACTGAACCGCTATTCTGCATGAGGGACATGAAATCCAGGCCTAATCTTCATCAGCAGAATTAAATCCAAGTTTGTTCACACACAGACATCCATAAATAAAATGGTATCATGGAAGAATGAAACTACAACTTTTAACAGGCTGTTCAGATTCAGTCCAGAAGGGGTTGGGACAACTCAAACCTTAACATTCTTTGTCTTAGGCTAGGACACAAATCTCATCATGGACTAGTAAGCAAATAGGCAACTTAAAATATTTTTTCTAACCAGATCACCCTCCTATTTTTTTTTTAACTGTGTTCCCTTAAGCATCAGGCTTTATCACCACTATTAATATTCATTCTAGCTAGCTTGAGGTATTTATTTATTAGTGCCCCCTAAACTCCTTGGCTTGATCATGTGTTTGAGTGCTGATCAGGGAATCACAGAATCATGGAATGGTGTGGGTTGAAAGTAACCTTGAAGATCACCTACTTCCAACACCTCTGCCATGATGTCCTGGTTTTGGCTGGGATGGAGTTAATTTTTTTTTTTTTTTTTTTTAAGTAGTTGGTACAGTGCTCTGTTTTGGATACAGTATGAGAAAAATACTCAGATGTTTTGCTTGTTGCTAAGTAGTGCTTACCCTTAGTCAAGGACTTTTCAGTGTCTCATGCTCTGCCAGTGAGGGAGGAAGTGCACGAAAAGCTGTGAGGGAGCATGGCCAGGACAGCTGACTCACAGAATCATGGAACGGTTTGGGCTGGAAGGGGTTCCAGTTCCAGCACCTCTGCCACAGGCAGAGACACCTTCCACTAGATCAGGTTGCCCAGAGTCCCATCAAACATGGCCTTGAACAACTCCAGGGATGGGGCATCCACACCTTCCTCTGGGGAACTTGTGTCAGTGCCTCACCATCCCCAGAGTAAAGAATTTCTTCCCACTGTCTAATATAAACCTACCCTCTTTCAGTTTAAAGCCATGTCCCCTTGTTCTATCGCTACAGGCCCTTGTAAAAAACCCCTCTGCAGCTCTCTTGTAGCCCCTTTTAGGTACTGAATGGCTGTAGGTAAGGTCTCCCCAGCACCGTCTCCAGGCTGAAAAACCCAATCCTCTCAGCCTGTTTTCATAGGAGAGGTGCTCCAATCCTCTGAGCTCGTTCATGGTCCTCCTCTGGACTTGCTCCCACAATTTCACACCCTTTTAATGTTGGGGACCCCAAAGCTGATGCAGGACTCAGGTGGGTTCTGACCAGAGCAGAGCAGAGCAGTAGAATTCCTGCCCTTGCCCTGCTGGCCATGCTGCTTTTGACTTCCCACCCTGAAAAAGCTTTTTAGTCAGGGAAAAAAAAAAAATCGAATTTCAATTTGCTGCACATTTGCTCACTCTTCTCACAACCTTCCCACTACTTCTTTACAAACATCTCACACATTTCTTTATGTCTGCTAGAGCATTTCCGAGGAAGAGCAACGGAATATGAGAATACCCTCTTTGTATATGGTTACATTTCAGAAACACACACGATTACTGTGGCACCACGCACGAACCGAGGGCGTAATTCAGCAACTTCTCCTTCTGGCAGCACAACCAGCTGTGGGATGTCCCCTCCGACCTGTGTGGCCGTGGGGTGTCCTCTCCAACCCGTGTCTCTGTGGGGTGTCCCCTCCGACCTCTGTGGCGTGATCCCTGCGGCCAGCGTGACGCGGGGTGTCCCCTGTGCTATCCCACACCTATTCCCCGGGCTGCCACCTCACTAAGAAGAAAATTGCCCCGTCAGGAACACGCTTAGAAACGTTTCGCGCTGCGCCCCACAGACGGAACCGGGGCGTTCCGGCCGGGCTGCACAGCTGAGGGAACCGCTGGCACATGGCAATTCCCACCCCTCGCTGGGACCTGCTGGGTGAGGGGAAGGAAAGGTTCCTCGGCTGTACCACTGCGGGCCTTACGGGTGAGGACGACATGAGGCCACTGCGGCTCGCCTCGGCACCATCCGGCTCCTCCGAGCCGACCAGGGCCAGATCCCAGCGCAGCATCCCAGCGCTACATCCCGCTCGCTGCCCCGGCGCCCGGGCGCCCTCCTCAGCCTCCTCTTCCCCCGCTTCGGCGCCCCCCCGCGCGGTGAATGGTGCGCGCCGCAGGTGTGGCCGGCGGGACAAACCAACAGCGGGCGGGGGGGGGGAGCGGCGCGGCGGGAGGGCGGGACGGGACGGGACGGGGCTGGCAGCGGGTGCATCCCCGGAGCGAAGCGGGCGGAGCGGCCGCCGCGGGAGATTGAAGTGCCGAGGCCGCGGCGGGGCGAGGAGCGTCAGGCGCTGCCGGCACTGCCAGCGTCGCCCGCGGGGAGGAGAATAGGAGGAGGGGGCCGGTAAGTGCCATGGGCCGGCGGCAGTGGGAGTGCGGCCCCGGTGGTGCCGGTGGCGGAGGGGCGGGCGGGGCATCGGCAGGGCAGCGGCTGCGGCTCCGGGAGGCCGCCCCTGCCCGGGTGCCTGTCCCCGGCCTGCCCCGCCGAGCCGCCCGTGCCGAGCTGCGGGTGGGAGAAGGCGCGTGGCGAACCGGGAAAGGGCGCGCGAGGCCGGGGAGCACCGGGCTGCTCTCCCCAAGGTTGCTGGCCCAGGTGTTGGGACAGGCAGGCCGTGACCTGCATCACAAAGCCAATCTTGGTTTAAAGATAAAGTTAGATTTTTTTTTTTCCCCCTGAAAAAAAAATATTTTCAGCTTTAGTCAGCTTCCTGGGCTGATTCAGGGTAGGGGCAGTGAGAGGAGAAACTCGTGGCTGGAGCTGATGCACGTGGTATAAGTGCTGGGCGAAAGTGTTAAGCTGCCGGTTAATTAGAACATCTTCATTAACTCTAATTAGAGCATCTAGTAGGAACTGTAGTTAGAAAATCTGTAATAACTCGTGAATTATAATTTGGTCATTCTTATCTTGATGGAGCATTTATTGTAATGCTGAGGTGTTTCAGGTGCCTTTGGGTGGATGCATTTCTCCTTGAGCCTTAGCAAGTATGTGTACAGAGTAGATTTCTTCGTTGAGAACTAAACATCTTTAGAAATTGATTCATTCTTGTATAGCAGCACTTGGAAAAAACCGTGGGTCGTCATCACTTGGTCAGTTTCAGGGGCTGATTGCAGGAGGAACAGGATTTTAGAACACTGACAACTAGACAACTTTAATGCTCTAATTTGCTGTGTATTCACTTATCAGAATCACATTTACATCCTGTCACATACTGAATGGCCTGGTTGTATAGGCATTCTTGAGTCTAACAGATGTGATGAAAGGCATTGCCCTTCCCCTCACCAGCCCTTAGAATCACAATGACAAAAGGCTGAAATATATGAAAAGACAGATTTGTTAAATATTACAGCATAGTTCTGCCTCTAAACATGACAAATAGAGTGAGGAAAAAAATGGATATTCCTAAGAAACTCTGTAACTGGACACCAGTGTGATAGGTCTCAAAAGTATCTTTCCAAATTACTTTTCTCTACAGAAAGAGTAGCTCTCACATGCAGGACTGCTGCCCTGAGTTCCTTGAGTGAGTGTGATAGCTGAGTCAGTGGGAGCAACTGTTTATAGTTCAGTCTTGTTAGATGAAGTTTCCCATCTTCTGGGGAGAAGCTGGAGCTTTCCCTCCAGCCCCTTGCTGGTATTTTTATCCCCTTCCTTGTCTAAAACATCGATCCCTGTGCTGCCTCACTGTGTCTTGGAGGCTTGGCTGCAGGTAGAGCTTTGCTTTCACTTCTTTCACTTTCTGTTCTCCTTGTCTACAGATACAGAGATATGAGGAACTGGCATTTGTTTCTTACTCCTTTCTGGCACACCTGAGCTTCTGTTAGGAGAGATGGTGTGATGCTGGTGGAGCACTAGACTTGGGCTGGCTTGTAACTTGTGTTTATTTAATAAGTTACTTATTATTACCTAGGGATCTCAGGTCACCGCCCTCCCTAGGCTTACTACTATCAGCTGAAAATAAAAATGAGGGTTTCCATTCAAGTTGCCTTACAAGTTTGAAGAGCATCCTTCCTTGTCACATTTTTGCATCAAAACCTCCTAAATCCCATTTACAATGCCAAGCAAAATTTAATCTTGCAATTGTGATACAAATGTTTAGGCTTTGTACAACCAGGAATGGCATACAAGAAAATTAATACATTAGAAGTACTGAAAGGCTGTGGCTTTTTAAAATCCCATTTTCAATCAAGCCCTCTTTTACTATCTCAGTTTTATTTTCATCTTCTTTCCTGCAAGTGGATGGAGTTAAAAAATAATCTTACAATCTCATCTGTTGGGGGGAAACCCCAAACCAAATAAAGCCTAACTAAACACAGATACCACACATACTGTGGATTAGGTTTCAGACAGAATCACAGAACGTTAAGGGGTTGGAATGGCCCTTAAAGATCATCTAGTCCCAACTCCACTTTCCTGTGCAGGGACACCTCTCACTAGACCAGGTTGTCCAAGGCCTTATCCAACCTGGCCTTGAACACTTACAGGGATAGGGCATTCACAGCTTCTGTGGGCAACATACTCCAATGTCTCACCACTCTCACAGTAGAGAATTTCTTCCTAATATCTAACCTAAATTTCCACCCTGTGAGTTTGAACCTGTTCTTTCTTGTCCCATCACTACAGTTCTGAGTCCTTCTTCTGCTTCCTTTTAGGTTTTCTTCAGATACTGGAAGCTTGTTGTATGTTTTCCATGCAGCCTTCTCTTCTCCAGGCAGAACAGCCCAAACTTTCTCAGCCTGTCTTTGTAGGGGAGGTGCCCCAGTCTCATTATCAACTTCGTGGCCTCCTCTGAACTTGCTCCAACAGTTCCATGTTCTTCTTGTCCTGGGAGCACCAGAGCTGGATGCTATATTCCAGGTGGAGTCTTAGCAGAGGGGGAGAGAGCGCCTCCCCCTCCTCCCCCCTGCCTTGCCCTGCTGCCCACGCTGCTTTGGATTGAGCCCAGGTTACATATGGGTTTGTGGGCTGCGAGCGCACACTGCCGGGTTATGCCGAGTTTTCCACCAGCCACCCCCGCGGGTGTTGGTTCTAAGAAGCAATGGAATGATCCTGACCGGGAGCAAGGCTGACAGCCCGGCCCCGGGCGCTGTGTCCGCCTCCTCCTGCTTCCTCCTCCTCCGGGACTACGGCTCCCAGCAGCGCCCGGGCTGAAAGTGAAAATAAACGCCAGGTTACGCTCCTGTTTGCGCCCTCCGCCTCTCTCCCTCCCTGCCGGCGGGCCGCACGTGTCCTTCCTTTCCCTTTTGTTTTCCGCCCGCAGGCCGGCTGTACGCCCGGGACGCGCCCGCTCCCCGCGGCACCGGGACCCGCCGGAGCTGCCCCCGGCCCTCCGCAGCCGCCGGGGAGCCGCGAGTCCGGGCTGCGCAGGAAACTTTGCCGCTTCTCTCCGCGCTCCCCACATGCGAGTGGACAACGTGAAGCCGGCTGCTGCTCATCCTGCCGCTCCCGTTCCTGCTCCTGCGGCTGCAGGCGGGCCAGCGCTGCCCCCCGCTCCGGCTGCTGCACCTGTGCCCGCCCCCGGAGCTGCGCCGCGGCTTCTCCTCGCCATGTGGGACTAGGAGGGTGCGGCGGTCTCCTCGGTGAACATGGATGCGGCGGGCAGGGCCGGCGGAGGGGAGCAGAGCCACCCCGGCAGCGGCAGGGATGCCCCCGGGGACACGTCCATGGACCGCTACCTGCGATCTCAGGGCTTGTACAGGAAGAAAGTGGCCAAGGATGGCTCCTGCCTTTTCAGGGCTGTGGCCGAGCAGGTAACTGTTTACATAAACAAAGCTCCTTCTCACGAAAGCATGGGAAGCGGATCTCATTAGTGGGTGGTAATTACTGTTAAAACGCAGACAGGTATAGGTTAGGGTTGTGCAGTCATGTGCCAGTGAGAAACGTGACTTTTTAAAAATAATTTCCACCTTGCGAGGTGAGAGAAGTTACGGGTGTTCAGCTGCCTCCTGCCACCAAGAAATCCTTATCTGTTTTGACCTTCCACCTCCTCCTCAGAGCTTTTTTCAGTGTAAGATCTCAACATCGAAATACAGCTGCTGGGTATGAGATTGTCTAGGAAAAGGAATTTAGAGCTGAAAAGACACGTTCTTAGTTTTGTTAATTAGTTGACTGTAAAATTAGAGAAAGTGAGTAATTTATTTTCTGTTCTTCCTGTTGAATTCCCCTCCCCCATTTCAGTGTTAGTGTTAAAGGAAAAAAGCGACAGCGTCATCTTGTCTTAAGTACAAGCAAACAGCAGTGGGAGCTCTGGTGCTTCTGATTGTGGGAACCCAGATTCCTGTGTTAATTGTTCACAGATCACTTAAAAAAAATTCCTTTCCCCACTGAATTGATAAGTTCAGGCAAGCAAACACTATTGGTTGGAAGTGGGTGGGTTTTTTTATCTCAAGGGAATATATATATATATATAAAATATATATTGCTATTCTGGCTTTTTAATTAATACTTAGTTTCTCTCACACTTCAGTGTTCATAGAACTTTTTTCAGCTATTACATTTTTAACATCCCAATCTTATTATGGAATCATTTAGGTTGGAAATGACCTCTAAGAAAGTAAGGTCTTTAATTCAGAGTTATTAAGTGTTTATCTGCAAATTTGGTCTCATTTGCGTACTCTTCATTCATAAAAACTGAATTTGGAAGTGATTTATTTTAAGGGTGGTTTTTAAGGACTGCAAGAGACAGTGCAGCTTAAATTGTCTGTGACTTCTCTAGGTTGTACTGAGATAACTTGTAACATGTGATGAAAATTATAGTTTTCCAGTAGAGATTTGAATGGGAGGTAGATAGGTGTCATATTCAGGGAACTGAATTCCTGGCTTCCAAAAAAGTGTTTGGACAACATGCCTCTTGAGGAGAAGGTAAACATGCACTGTGAGACTTGGCTGGATTTTGTTTGAACGAATGCATGTTGGTAGGTGGCTTCCTCATCCATTCCTGCTGTAACTTCCTTCAATTAACTGAAGTCCTTTACAAAGGAGGCAGTTAAAGATTAACAATAAATGCTATTTATTTTCTTTGTAAATCCTCATAAAATTGAAGGTTTGAATTTAGCAAACCTGTGAATTTCTCCAGTTACTTAATTTCTTATTAAGTAATTGAGGTTTGACTTGCCTGAAGATGTTGCTGCTGAATGAGTATGCATATTAAATGTTCTTAAAAATAAAGCTAGAGTATTTCCAAGCCTGTATTTAGACAGCAGTCATTAATTATTTGTGGCCTGTCATCAAAACTCCTGAGATCCAATGTCACCTTGTTCTCTTTCTCCCTTTGTAGGTGTTGCACTCTCAGTCTCGACACATTGATGTTAGGATGGCTTGTGTAGACTATCTTCGGAAAAATAGGGACAAATTTGAAGCAGTAAGTATTTTTGTTTTCTTTGTCAGCATTTAAGAAAAGTTACTTTATTCCTTCCACTTTGGTATATTCTGCACTTCCCTATGTTTGTGGCAGTATTCATCGTAGCTAAATACCAGTTGGTGCTATTTAAGTTAATTAGCAGATATGTGGTAGTAACTCATTTTCCAAAGCATGGAGAGGCTTGTCTACTTCTTGGACTGATGTGGTGTGGGAGAAGTTTTTAATGCTCATGAAGAAAGAAAAGCAAACTTAATCTTCAATAGTCTATAGTGAAGCTACTATAATCAGGATTTTAGTTTAGTGTAATGCCTACTTTTATTAAAGTCATAAAATGTTCTTGCTGTGCTAATTAATTGCTTTTCCAGTGTATAAGGGATTTAACTGAGATTAGTGAAATTTTTTTCAGGGTCTGCAGTTTATTATGCATTGGCACTGTAGGGTTTTTTTTTCCCTGAACATCTGTAACTAAGCTTTTCATCAGCCATGGATGCAAAATATTTTGATATTCATTAGTTGGTCAATGCTGTTGGTGTTAACATTACAGATTCCTTTTTTTCCTTCCTTTTAAAAGCGCATTGATCAATAATGGTGCTTCTGTTTGTATGGGTTCTAGTGTATATACTGTTACCTGATTTCCAGGACAGAAATAGTTGAGACAGGGGAGTCTCAAGGGAGAGTGAGTATGGGAGGATTTGTTACTAGAAGATTATTACACTTTTTATCTGTTCTAAATTTACCCACACCCAAAATACAAAGACTGTTTTATGTATGCACTGGCATAGGGAAGAGAAGGACAGTAGGAATAAAGGTGTGTCTTTGTGCTGTAATTTCTGACATAATACCCTCAGCTCTAATGTGAGTGATCACATAAAGGTGGAAGTTATCAGGAATTAGTGATACAAAATACAGCAGATCTCTCTGGGACAGTGCTGCTCTGACTTGACTCCTTCTGGTTGTTTCTAATTCTTGGATGTCTCTCTTCTTACTTCATTTTTTCACTGCTGACTTTTTAATCCCTTTCTAGAATTACCCTGCTCATTCCAATATCTGCTTCTCTACTTCTGTACTCTTGTTCCATTGTGTAGTGTTGTGAAATTCCATGTCCTTTTTTACTCTTAAGTGTGTGTTTTCCCCCATATTGTTATTTCCCATCACTGCTTTGTTAGCCCTAGCTGGTTTTAGTATGGTTTTAGTATTGTTTTGGTCTCTCTCATCCAAACTCCTGGTCTCGGTGTTCTTTTTTCCCCCTCAGACATTATCCCAAGGTATGACCTGTCCTCTGTCAATCTTTGCTTTCCTTCTGAAAAGTCTCCTTTTTAAAAGTTTCTTGTGAGAGTAGGTGTTTCATATTTGTTCCCATTTCCAATGTTCTTCCTCCCACGGACACGTCGCTTCAGCTCTGCTGATCTCCTTTGCTGCCTCTGTCTCTCACTCTGCTTTGTGTTTTCTGTCTGGAATACACCACTGTTATCTCTCTTTAAAAAACCCAAACAGCATAAACAACAAATGCCTCTTCCCCTAATCTCCTGGTTCAGCTGTTCACTTTTTGCCTCCTCAGTTGTTATGCTCTATTGACATGGTGGTGCTTCCTGAAGTTCCTCTTCTCTCTGTTGTTATAATTTCAGCTTAAATTTGTGTCTTTCCACTGATACCGTTATAACCAAGATTTCAGGAGTGTAGCCACCATCTTTATTTCCATCTCAGCCTTTCTTGCAGTGTTTCCTTGAATTGCTGCTGTGTTATGTGCATTCTCTAACTCTTCAGTTTCCTATGAGAACTTCCTAGTGTCCTTCCTTTCTTCCTCTGTGCATTATCTTCATGTCATTTAATTTTGACACAAAAAGTAACTACTGTCTATGATCATGTTTGGCTGATCCACCTTTTTTAACTTCACACCCAATTGCTTCTATCTGAATTAAAAATGTGGGCCAGGCTAGTTAGTTGTTCTCACTTCCAAATGGCTGAAGCAGAACTTTTAATCTCATTACTCCACTCAGTTCTCCTTATTATCTTGTTTCTTAATCACTGTGGGTAAAGAGGCCATCCAGCTTGTAGCTCAAATTCATAAAGGGATTTCCTTCTTGATTTTCACCTCTGTGGATCTTTATTTCAGGTAAATCAAGCAGATAGGCTGCTTTTAAAAATTGCTCTTTAGTCACTTTCTGTGACCTGTGTGGCTGAAACACTTTGAAGTTAAGATGTCTCAACTACTGCAGTATCTTTCTGTGCTCTTGGCAAATGTGAATTTGGCCTCCTCATGCATGTTAGGGAGTGCAGTTGAAGGATCATTTTCTTGGGCTGGCATTTGAAGTGTCGCCTGATTGTTTGTATCATTTGCTGAAAGTAAAAGCAGTTTGAGGTGATACAAAACAGAGGAAAAAGTGCTGAATGAGTTGCCTGTACTAGATCTTACCACTGCTTCCATACTACGGAAATGGGACTCCTGTTTCTGATTGTCCATTGTTGTTTATTTAACAAGATGTTTGAATCCAAGTCCACAATTCTCTCTTCAGTGATGCTCTGCATGCCTTAGATGAATTGCCCATAAACATCTACATCACATCATCTTTGCTTTCTTCCAGCTTCCCCATTTGTCTGCTGAGTTTCTTTTTTGGGGGTTTTGTTTGGTTTATTTTACTTGTGTGAAATAAATTTGGTTTATTTTATTTGTGTGAAATGATTTTGAAAGCTGTTTATGTGATTATTTTCTGCAAGGCAAACCTGTGTGTTTGGCTGTTCATTCCTTCATGTCGACACCACTTTATATTTAGGTTGTAAGCTTTGTGAGGGCAGGGGAAACTTCCATTTCCAGCCAGTGGTACGTTCCCATTGGTACAGTGGGTCACAGGTTGGGGATTCTATATGCTGCACTATTAAAAATTACTAATTACTGCTGTTTTTTTTTTTTTTTTTTTTTTTTTTTAAATACAGTTCATAGAGGGGCCATTTGAAGATTATTTAAAAAGTTTGGAAAATCCACAGGTATGTTAGACCTGATTTATAATAGAACGCTTGTGTTGAAGTTGATGGCTAATTGGAATTTTTTTTTCCTCTGAAGTGTTTTTGATTGAGCTTAGGTCTTTGAATTACACAAATTTTATGTACGTACTCTCTACTGTAAAATTATTTGGGGATTGTGTTTTTATGTCTTGTTGAACTCCAGAGTCAGTGTTCATATATTTATTTTCAACAATGCTTTATTGCATCTCTTGATATGCTTATGGGGAGGTATAATTGTATATTTGTTTGAACTTAGTTTTCTTTTGTTTTCAATACAGGAATGGGTTGGACAAGTAGAAATAAGTGCCCTTTCTCTTATGTACAAGTAAGAAAACCTTTCAATATGTTTTACTGAGATAATTCCTGTTGTTTTGTTAGTAAATCAGTTCAAACAGCAAAGATAACTATGTTGTACCATACCATAGTCCTCTAAAATTATAAATATATTTGAAAATTGCATCTGTCAAGAGATTACATAAAATAGAAAAGTGAGTTTGCAATAATGTCATGTATCTCAGTTGCACAGGCAGTTGTGGGTAATCTCATACAGTTTGTATTTTGTTAATTTTAGTATCCTAGCTTTTCTGTTGAAATTGCTTTTCTTCCTGTTACTCACCAAGGCTTTAGTACTAACCCTATTGCTCATATGAGAGCTGTACCCATTTCCTAGATACTAAATCTTTCTTCACAAAGTAGTGAGAAACAATGTGCTGAATATTTATAACTGCTTTCTAATTATTGTGCAAGGGAGTGAGTAATCCACAGCATCTTCACTGTCTGCTCTTTATAAACTCATTGAAGATTCAGAATTTCAAAATGTTTACTGTAAATTGATGGCTTTGTCTATTGATGAGACAGCTGATTAGAGGAAAGAATCAAACCAGTTCAATATTACCTTTGGGCACTTTGAGTGCTGTGTGTGGGAAATTGTATGGAATTCTATCTTTGCATTTTGTGAGGTGAATGGCCAGCTCAGAGTTGCGTGTCCTGCATGGATGGGAGAGGACTGAGCTGAAAGTCAGAGCAAAGCTTGGCTCAAGAGGCTTAGTGAGACGGTCTGGTGGTTACACTGAGCCAGGTTGTAGGGGAATATAACTCAATTTATGCCTAATCACATCAGAAACTGGATGGTCGTGATCTGTTATATTTCTGGCCATGAAAAATGTATTCTCATAAACAGGAGTAGTTTATTTTGCAGTTGTGCCACACTGATAAATGAATAGAGAGAAATCCTGGTTAATAACAGTGGGTTTTTAAAATATCCATTGAAAGCATCAGGAGGGTTTTGTGGCACAGGTGCAACTCCTAAGTAGTATTTCACTGCAGAGGTGAACACACAAGAGTAGTTATTGCTGTGCTGGTTTTGGGAAGACAGGCTTCTATTGAAAAGGCAATTTAGAGTCTCAGGGAAAGCAGGAATGGTGGTGGAGTTAAGGGGAAAGAGTTGCTTCCTCTCCTGCGTGCTGGCACACTTAAGGGAAGTAAGAATTTCCTGTTCTGTTCCAGTAAGTGACTTCCAGACCTTTCAGGCATAGGATAGAAATTCAGTACAAATAGGTTTGCTTTCCCTTTCACTCCTCAGACCTCTCACAAATACAGGTTAGTTATCTCGTAAAATTTTCTTTGCTCCCTGAAGTGTATGAGTCTTCTTTTCCTCTCAGAATTGCTTTTTCTGAGTAGTTGTAAAAAGTTGTTGATTTTTTTTAATCCCGAAACTGTGAATATACTAAATTGTTCTGTAAGACTGATAACATTTTTGCCTATGTGAGAAAGAAGTAAGGAGGTGACAGGTTGTTAAGCAAAGAACTCTAAGAGAGCATTAACGATGAAAGGGAGAGAGAAAAAATATTTAAGCTTAAAATCATGATAGAGATTGATTATAGCAGAGAAATCTGTGTTTTCAGAGGTGTTTCCTGTGGTTATGTATCTGCCTTGAATTTGACTTCAATGTTCAAATTGTTATTGATACTACTTTTAAAATAAATTCTTAACTGCTGCTTTTTTTTTTTTTTCAGGAAAGATTTCATAATATACCAGGAGCCAAATGCTTCTCCTTCACGTGTAACTGAAAATGGCTTTTCTGATAAGGTAAAAAAAGAAAAATCATGGCTATTGTGACAGGCTGAAGTAAGACTACTTTATAAACAGAAGTAGTTGCATGTGACTTTTATTATTCAACACAACAGAAAGTTCTGAGAATTCAGTTTTAGCAGTTTATTTTGTGCACGATTAAGGCAGTTGTGCTGTTAATACATGTAACACTTCTTTTTAAATAGATAGGATGTATTTAGGGTGTGACATATCTTCCTACTAATATAAAATTCTGAGAACACCAATTTTCAGTCACTAATCTTTGTCTTAATTTTTTCTTTGCTTTTGTTCAAGTTCTGTTTGGTTTAAAGCACATCCCCCAAACATTTTGATTGTTTTATTGATACATTGAGATCCTGAGAGACAACAAAGCACATGGTGCCATAAATTGAATTTAAAGGTAGTGCTTATGAAAAAGTGAGATGCAAAAGCCTAAAATATCCATGTGATTTTTTTAATAGGTGTTGCTGTGCTTCTCAAATGGAAACCACTATGATATTGTGTATCCCGTAGAGTATGCAGAGAAGGCTGCTCTGTGTCAATGTAAGTGTTAAGCTGTTAGTTAGAAACATATTTTTACCAAAAATCTTAAAGCTCTCATTGTTAGGTTTCGGGAAAAGGCTCTGTATGGAAGTTTATTATAGTTATTTTCAGTAGCTTTGTTTTCAGTTGGAGTTGTCAGTGACTGTATGATTGCTGTCTGAAATAGTGGAATAAAAAGTGATTTAGCTGGTACGTGATTTTGCTCTTCTGCTTTCTCCTCCTCTTCCTCAGCTCTGCTGTATGAGTTGCTCTATGAGAAAGTGTTTAATATGGATTTAAAGAAAATCATGACAGAACTTAGTGCTGTTGGTGTGACAGAAGAAAGTAATGGGAGCAGTGAAGTGTCTGCTTCTGATTCGGAAGATGACAACTACAGGTAAATGAAATTGAAAAGTTGCCTGTGAGCACATGTTAAATGAATTTTCTGAATTTCTGGTGGATAGTGGAATCCAATAGTTAGGGTTGAAAACATTTAAAAATTACTAAGGAAAGAAGCACAAAGAGGTAGGGTTAGAAGTGTGAAAGAATGCAATATGTAATCTTCGCTTACCTAAGGACAGGCTTATGGCCTTCCTCTGTTCTTCCTGCAATCTAGCTTTGAGTCTCTTTACATAATGGATTATTGCCATTGCAACATGTGCCTCTTCCTGTTTAGAGTGGGAGAATTGTCAGTGTGCCAGTCTCCGTGAGAATGACTTGGCTTACTCTGCAGCTGAGTAGAGTTACAGGGATCTGATCCAACTTGTGTGGCTTCCACCTCTGGAGGCTGGAATACCTGCTTGAGGTGAAGCTGATGGAGACATATAGATACAGCTTGCTCCATTTTGATCTGGATCATAAGGAAGTGGGGTTTATATTCTTTTTGCTGGATGCTGTAGCAAGCTTTGAGATTTTGACCTAACTCCTTTTGCACAGTCAGTCATTCACAGTGTCATTTTTGCACTCTACATATTGGCAGTTTTTCTTCTGTTTAATAAGGTTCTTAATTCTGGCTTGTATGAAATTCCACAGAAACTGTGGAGATGATGCTGCATCAGTGGATCATGTCCCCACCTCCCACTGATTGTTACAGTCCTTCCCTAGGGCTCTGCTGTCTGGCATGTGACAGAAGTTCTTTGAGCTGTTGGGAGCTGGTTTCTCCCACAGGTTGAAAACAACAGAAAGGAAGATAATGGAAATCATCACAGGGAAAAAAAACGTTCTGGGAAAGGGATTAGCTTATTTTTGTGTTTGGAAAAAAAATACTAGGGAACGTTGCCAATTAAAATACGAAGTATTTCTGCCTGAGGAAACAATTATTATAGTTAAATGTCAGCTAATGGAAATCTTTATTCCTTTCTGTTCTTGGAGCTTTCCTGGGATTCAAATGCAGTAGCTGTACCCTGTATCTTTGGAATTCCTAAGAAAATATCCTGCAAACCTCCTTAGCACCGTTGGAAATAAGATCATATGCTCACTGGAGACTGTGGAACTCAATGTTTTTGATTTAAACCTTATGTCCTATAATGCAGGGGCTGGCCTGTGTGTATATGACTCTTGACCCAGTTAACACAAATTATAGACACTTAGCTGAGTTATATGAAGTCCTAAATCTTTTACTTGTTGAAAACAAGCTTGTTTTGTTGAAGTTGACTTCAGCATATTTCATAAGCTAGTTTTCCAGAAGATTCTTTTCATTTTATAAACATAAACGTTTTGATTATGTCGTTAATAAGTGCAATAGTTTTGGGAGAAGTTAATGCTGACAGTTGCCTACAGCTGTTGTAGGAAAAAATACTTGGAACTTCCTCTGTGGAAAGTTTTTTTCTGGTGATGTCAGGTGTAGAAAATAAGAGTAAATTAGAATGCCTGATGGAAGTTAACTAACAGAGTAGGTTTTGGTTTTGAAGTTTTCTTAATGTCTACTTTTGCAAGGTTTTCCTCATGTAGTTGCAAAAATTTTAAGAGGACTTCTGTTTCCCTGGTCTTCCACCCCTTGCTTTTTTTTTTGGTTTTTTTTTTTTTTTTTTTTTTTTGTGTGTGGTTTTTTGGGGTTTTTTTTTTTTTTTGTTTTGTTTTTTTTTTGGTTTTTTTGGTGTTTTTTTTTGTTTTTTTTTTTTTTTTTTTTTTTTTCCCTAAATGACAGAAAAGCACACATAAGATAGACTTCCTAAAACTTGTACTTAAACCCAAAATCTTATTTCTTTATCAAAGAAAGTTAAAAGTACGGTTTCTATTTTAGACAGATTTTTCACTTCAAGAGATGAAGATAGTCTGTGATATGGTTATTGTCAGGAAAATATATAGGGAATGGTAGAATCACTATTTTTATCCCCTTTAGATGTGTCTTACCTGATTTCAAGCCTCAGTAATGCTGTAATTCATTATGAAAACATAACTTGCTTCTGTCCTATTACAGAAGTAAAGCTACAACAGTTAGCGATATGAATGGAATGAAGTCTCTTTCTGGCAACAAGGTATTTATCTGTTGAGGTTTATTTTCTTTCTAATAACTTGTACTGAGCTATATTTTTAGTATTTAATGTTCATGAGAGACTCTTGAGTTACTAGCTTTCCTAACATGTAATATTCTAAACACAACATGTTTCTTTGAAAGTAATGTATATTTTTGATGCACTCAGAGGTAGGTGGGTAAGTGTCCTTTTTAGTGCTGCTTCGTTCTTAGATTTGTTCTGGCATAGTTAAAAGAACACCATTTAATTATTATTTTCAAAGCTCTTTATGCTCTATGTATTTTCAGCATTTCTGTGTTTCAGTGCAAGGCTTGAGCACTGTGATTGAAGTATGCAAAGCTGGATATGTGTGTGCAGTTGACCATTTAGCACTTTGTTCTGTTCCATGCAGCACCTTGAGAGCAATGGGAATCCCACCTCACTGGTGTTGCCTAAAAAGGTTCTGAAATCGCTTGATCCTTTGGTTTACAGAAACATTGAATACGATGTTTGGCTCCGATCCAAATGGGGTGAGTAACAGAAGACTTTTGCAGAGTTGCAGCTTTTGCAAGCTGTGTGAAGTGAAGCCCTCCTGAAGAACTGATGCAAGAGGCAGTTTGGTATATTTAAATTGACAGCATATTACTGCTTCTGTATTTACAGATCAGCAAAAACAAGATTTTTCTATTGCTGCTGGCATGCAATACTCCATTGGAGATAAATGTAAAGTAAGTAATATTGAATTTTAGTTTATAGACACATTAACATTTTGCTCAAGATGTCCATTTTCCCACTTTGGTAACTATTTTGATATTGCTACTTTATAAATACTCTTGGGTTGTATCTTCAGCTGAGAAGACACATTTAATTGTTGGCAGTGTTCATGACTTACAGTATAACATACAACTGATAGGTGCAATTTTGCACCATTAAAAAACCACAAGGTTAACTCCAAGAGTATATGTAATAAGATGATTGGGAGCTTCAACATTAAGCATGGAACTGTATATCCATGTGTTTATATTTGACACTGGAGATAGTGATTAATCTTTGTACATTGGCTTTGATAAAATCTCAGTACTTCCAAGTAATAAAGTACAGCTTGCTTTAGTTACTGAAGATCCGTGCAGCTGGGCTTGCTTTAGTTACTGCAGTTGGGCTGTTCTTCCTCTCAGGGTGTTGGTTACACAATTGGTCTTCAAATTCTATAAAGATTTGTATTAAGTGTTGCTGCTTAAGAAGAACCAAGGTTTGCCATTAAATTCTCAATTTGTAGATTACTCTCCTTAAGTGTGTTAGTTAAACTGGTGGTACTCTGCTAAATGTGTTTCTTTATAGGTCATTCGACCATCTATTAAAGTTATTAATGACAAAATATTCAGTTGGGGTAATCATGTAGCACAGAGGCTCTTTCAGTTTGTACTTCTTTATTTGTGTAATGGAATCAACCATGGTGACTAAACTGCAGGGAAAACACATCTCCAAGCCTAAAAAAAAAAGCCCAGCCACAAAATACTCCACAAAGCCACAAGCCCTCAACCCCCCAGGCCTCAAACGAAACCAGCCTAATGCCGAATTGATTATTTATTGTTTAATAGTACAGCCTTAAAATGTACATTTAAGACCCTAAGGTTGTCTTGTTTAGTATTTATTTACAGATAGTATTAGGAGGAGACACTCTGGTAATTAATACATTTTCTCTGTCAAATTTTCTATGTACGTGGCAAGACAGTAAATATATAGTATAAAAACATGGGAGCAAAACATGAAGTGAATAGTGAAAGTTAGAGTTGACGAAATTAATACAACTGTAAAGTCAAATACTGTAGTGAAACATGAAGAAATTTATTTTGTATTCAGCAGAAGAATTTTACGAACACAGAATGTCAGTCAGACAGCTAACACTATGATCATGTCTAAAGAACTTTTTTTGATCTTAAAAAAACCTTCTGAAGAATAACTCGTGAGGTAATTGGTTTTCATTATGTTCCTCATTAGACTACGTTTCACTGAAGTGAGGTGGATTTTAATAGGCAAAAGCTTTGAGTTCTATTCTGAGAGAGTGTTTTCAGTAAAGCCGAAAAGCCTGGCTGCACTGATTGCTTTTAACTTTCTCATGTGGTTTTGAAAAGCATATATTTCATTAAGTAGGGTTCCTCAACAAGTTGTTTGTTTGTGGTCTGTTTGTTTAGTGTTGCGTGTGTGTTTGTTTTAGTAGTATTTTTATTTCTTTTTGAAGAAGCAATAGGGATTGAAGATTGGCTTTTGATTCATTTACTGAATTGTGATGTGTATTTCTCAGGTCTTCTATTGCCCAGAGGCAAAGTTTTGTTTCTCATTGTTGATATTTTAAAGAATTAGTTCCTCTCACAGTCATCTTTGGAGCTAATCCACTTTTTTTTCTTGTTCTTTACAGGTGCGCTTAGACCATAATGGGAAATTTTATAATGCCCATATTCAAGAAGTTTTTTCAGAGAATGGGCCAGTTGTTGTATTTGTAGAAGAGCTTGGAGCAAAGTGAGTGCTTAATCTCTTTTGGAAAGGAGCACCAAACTGAACAAAGCATTACTTTGGTTCAGAGTTAACTTCAGCCCCTGAAATGCATCTGTTTCTTTACGTAGAGCAGTACTACCACAAATTTGTTAAGAAAGCAGCATACTATTAAAAAAAGGAAAAATTTATTATCATTTCATACTTCTTTCTGTAATGCCAAGTAGTCTGGCTATTACTTGCAGAGTAGAACAGTAGTTCCATCAATAGTATTTTAATTTTTGTGCACAAGAGTCATTCCTAAACAGATTGACGCCAGGCTAATAAGGTGTTGCTTGTTATTAATAATTAGATGCTAGATTTGTGACAAGCTTTTTGTATTGACAGGTCTATTAAAGCACTGAGTTCCTCTGGTGGTTGAGTAGCTCTGCCTGATTTCATACAGAGTGCCAAGCTGCTGTTTAGATCAGCATCATGTTTGCCCTACCTGGGACAAAAAAATGTTTGAAGTTGTTGTTGTGGGTTGTGAATTTGGTGGTTTTGGTTGTGTGGGGTGGGATTTTTTGTTTGTTGGGGTGTTTTGGTGGGGAGTGGGCAGGGAGAGAGCAGTCTGAGACTGCTCTGCTGTAAATCCTGTGACTTCTGGGTCAAAAAAACCCACACTGATTGCAGTTTGGGAAGAGGAAACACTTTCAGTCAAGGTAAATGAGAAAGATGCCCATTTATCTTATTTGATCACCATTAAAAAGAATTATGAGATCTGAGGAGTGTCTTGCAGTTTGAATCCTTTTTAAATTGGAATTTAACCTGTTTGAATAATGTAAATATATAACAAATATATTATACTAGTTATGTATTTATATTTTTCTATTAATATAGAATATATTACATTATTATAGTTATACATTATAATATTATATTACTATAGAATAAATATATAAATAAACTTTCAAATAACATAAACATTTGCTTGGATCATCCTCTAGCATCCTCAATTAAAAAGGCAGTAATTGTTCTGGGATATATACCATCAATGTAACATCTTTCAATTTTGGCACCTATTGCAGCTTTGGTAATAAATTTATCTAAGTATTGCTTTTATCTGAGTATATTGCTTTTTGGGATCATTCTCTTTTTCTGTCAGCCCTGAAGGCATTCAAAAATGCCCCAATAGGCACTTCAAAAATGGCTGATCATTCTTTACTGGATAAGTTTATGTCAACTTGCTAGTTTTATGTAAAAAGGAATAAAAAAGGGTTTGCTGTTCTACACATTGCTTGAGTGAAATAATAAAGGCAAAGGACTTTGAAAACAACGTTCTCAAAAATTTAAAGATCTGTCAATATTAGTGAACATGCGGTATTAATTTATGTAAACCCCAGTCTGGTCTTTTAAGATATTATTCCCTCCATAATTCCTTGTTTTGTAGGCATGCTGTCTCACTGAAGAGCCTTAAACCTCTTCCACAGACCTCTCCTATGGAGGGCTGGAACACTGTGCCAGGGAAGAAGATAAAAAAGTTTTACCCAACATGGGGGCAGAATGCTCAGCCTGGTAGGACTGTACCTGTCTTTGTGTGGCAGAATCTTCTTTGTCAGATGTTTTGTCCCAGAGAGCTTAAAAAAATTATTAAAACAAAAGTCTTACCTTTTCCACGTTGTTATCACAGATGCAGAGTGCAGAGGGCCAAAGAATCAGAGCAAGTCAATCAAACCCCAGTCAGCACTACCTCCTCGACTTCAGCATACTGTGGGAACCAGGCAGCAACAGTTCTTGGGTTCTGGGCCCCAACCTCATCAGACCTCAAATGAGCAAAAAACTCCGGGCAGGAATCCTTCCCAGTCTGCAAGGTAAATCTGCAAACAGCATCTTCCCTGGCTTGAACTCTTCACTGAGTTTCTGGAAGCCCACGTACCTGCTTCAGATGCTTCCAGCATACCCTTTTGAAATACATTGCCATTGAATTCTTAGGAAGTGTCCCAAGTCCTTAAGAATACACACAAGCACGGGAAAAAGAATTTTCCTTTTTCTTGCATGGCAGAAACTGCCTACAAAGCCACATTTTTCCTTGGAAAGTGGATGTTAGCGTGGATTATGTTGTAGTTGTTTTTGGTTGGGGTTGAAATAATGTTGCAAGTGCTTTTTGGGCATGGCTAAGATCTTTCCTCGGCTTCTGCTGAACCTGTCATAGGGGACTGCTTTGTGTTCTGACTTAACACTTGTAAGGAGTATTAGAAGACTGTTTTACCTGCACTTGTTGGTAGTGACTTTTTGATTCCTTCGGCTGCTGCAGCAGAATTTCTATTTCCATGCTTGTGTCTTCTTCCTTTCTCCTAACCCACGAGTTTGTCTTGGGTTTGATCCAGAATTTCTTAGTCTGAGTGATCCTGCTTCCTTTTCCCCTGCGCAGGAAAGCGGAGCGCGAGCGCAGCGAGGAGCTGAGCCATGGCAACTACTTTGGGCTGTCTCCGGAGGAGCGCAGGGAGAAGCAGGCCATAGAGGAGTCTCGTTCCCTTTATGAGATCCAGCAGCGGGATGAACAAGCTTTTCCTGCTCTTTGCAATGTATGCTGCATTCCTTGTAATTAACAGTGCACTTTCCATACTTGTCTGTGAACCCTTCCTCAGCCATTGGTTTCCTGTCCTTGAATCACACTGCAATTCAAAAATTAAGGATATTCATTTTGCACTTGCTTTGTAATTAGAAGTAAGGTATCTACAATGCTTTATATGTTAAAGATAAGAAAATAAACATAGTAGTTTATCCTGGGAATAATTGAACATCCACCACACAGTGCTTTAGGTGTGTAAATATGGGAGACACATGAGCATCTGTATTTGTAGGATTTTGGAGAGATCATTCTATTGATGCAATTTTAATAAAAGTGGTTGGGAATCTCAGTACATCCAGGGAGGCGAGCAGATCCTGTGGGTAAAGAGCTACTCTCCAAATAAGTTTGTTCTAGAGATGTGTGGGGCTTTTTGAGTTTAAATCCTAGGGCAAACAGAAAGAAGAACAAGGCTGGGAAGAATGACTAGGTGAAAGACTGAAGCCTAAGGGACAGAGGTTGCTCTCTCCTAAGCAGTAACAGTTAGCTGTGTTTGCTCACCTACAGGAGGAGGATGTGATTTATTGTCTGAGTGAAACAGATTTTGTCACATCAGCTAGTGACATGAATGCTCTTAAAGGGCACTTGGCGAAATGTAGCAATGAATGAGAAAGTGTGGATGAATGCAGGATACTGAGCCAGACTCCCCCCGTTCCCTTTTCTGCCTATCACAGACATAAATATTATTTGTCATGAAGGCATTATAGTATCATAGCAGATGATGGTAAATGTCATTGGACTGATTACATAAAGTGATATTTCTGCTTTTCTCAACTTCTTCAGAACCAGTTAGTCTGTCAGGCTGCTACACAGACTGTGGATAATGCAAACCAGAAAAAGTTCTCAAATACTGAAAGAAGAAATAGCAAGTGGACAGCAGAGGTGGAAGAGCAGAAGGAGAAAGGTAAAACTAAATGGGTTTAGATAATGGCTGTTTTTTTGTTTTTTTTTTTTAAATTTGCTTCGTTTTATTACCAGTCTCAGAATTTATTCAGGATGGGGCATCTGTTTAGGCAATGAGGGGGAAGTTATCCTAAGTAGCAGTGCCAAATTAAACTGGGATGGAGGTAGCAAGGGTGTGGTTTGTGAAGAAAGTACATTTCCCTGCTTTGTGAATGTGGCTGAGAAAGTAGACTACTGGCTGGAATTTTTGTAGTAAATGGGAAGAGGAAAAAGAAAAACTAAAAGACTTATCAGAGCTACCCTAAATTAGATCCTTTTGAAATTCTAGAATGTGTGGCAGAAAGTGCCAGTGGGAGGAGCCTTATGCCCTTTATGCCATTTATGAAGCAGGTAAAAGTATTTACTGTGGCATGGTTAAGAATTAGCATTATATAAGAATATTATATATATATATATATAAAGGAATTAGTACAGGAAGGGGAGAAGAAGAGTACAGAAGGATTGGAAAAACAAACCTGTTTTCAGTAGAAAGCTCTGTCACATGGTCAAAATTTTGTTTGGGTTTTCTCTCTCCCCCCAGTTGGTTACAACACTTCAGCTTCTCTTCATGGACTTAAAGCTTCTCCTCCTCTGTGAGGAAGTGGAAAGTGGCAGTAATAGAAGAAAGCTGTAGGTGCCAGGAGGAGGAAGTTAGTAAATCTCTAATTGCAAAGGAATTTTTTAAGGAACGTTCACATTTTTTAAGGAATCTTCACATGGAGAAAGCTGGAGAGGAAGTAAAGACTCCACTGTCATGATGAATTTGACTGAAGCTCATGGCATGTCCAGCTTTCTCTGCTTTTTGTGACACTCTGGATTGCATTGCCTCTTGTGAAACTAGGTTAACAATCCTATGGGAATCAAGTATACTTCCTTCTGAGTGTTTAGGGATTCCTATTGCTGCTTGGTGATTTGGCAGTAATTCTCAAAATCAATACTGTTTCCATTTATACTGCTGTCTAGTTGTGACAGAGTATGTAACAAGCTTTTAAAGAGTCTATATCTACTATTGATAATCTGGGAATTAATTTGATTGAAAAGCGGTGGTAGCCAGGTCTGAACATAAGCCAGAATGTGAAGAGCTTATTCAGATCTTATGTCCCGACTGTTTTTTAACACTGCTTCCCCACTGAAGTGTGTGCTGGTGCTTCAGGAATGAAACTTTGTGCAGCAGTCTGAAAACTTTTTTAGATCTTTTAATCCCCTGCAACATTCTAAACTGTTTTTACTCAGTCAAAAGTAGACAAGACTTTGAGCTTCTTTTATCTTAACACATGAATATGAAAATGCCAATCACAGCACTTTCCCTCTAAGCAAAGTACAAACTTCTGTTTCATTAGGAGCAATATATTTAAAGGATAGCTGTGTTTCATTCCTGCTTTTCCCAAGCATTACTGAAATGGTTTCCAAACATCAGTAAAGAACTCCTGTAAAGCTTGGAGAACCCAGGTTGAAGTAGCTGCTCTGTTACTGCCCGAACAACTGTTTGTTTTAGGATGCTTTGATCTTTGGTAAAAATAGAAATTTAAGTTTTCTGAAATAATATATACTAAGGTATAGGTTCGGTTTTGAAAGTTTAATTTTGGAAAGACAAACTAACTGGCTTAAGTTGTGATAGCCATAAGTGGTGTAATGGTTCATTTACTAGGTTATGTCTTGGTGTTGCAGAGTCAAATTCCAGGCAGATCCACTTAAGTCAGAAGCTTGAGCCAAATTCATCTGAGGTAATCTTAAAGAAAAGACCAAATTTTTTTTAATGTTATTGCTTCTCTGATACGTGATTAGCAGAGCAGTAGCTGCCTTTAGAGCTGTGATTGCTGCTGCTGCTTTACAGCTTTTAGTGAAATTCTCCTAAGGCTGGAGACTTTGTATTTCTGTCAGCTTTCCTCAGCTCTGTAAACTATACTTAGTCTTTCTCTGCAATCAGAGTCCTCAAACCTGGGCTATTGAGAGCACTTATAAATCTGGATTTGTAATTGCTTAGTGCAGTCTGTACTTTCAGTATAATGGGACCACAGAAGATTTGATGTTTGCTAATAGCTATTGTGCTAACAGACCATGAGTTCTGAAGTTCAGTGAAGATTTATGGCCTCTTGTTGGCTTTTAACCTTTGCTGTGCTTTCAATGAGCAAAATGTCATACTAGTATAATATGTGATGGATGCTTAGCCCACTTTGTATGGAGTGTGGTTTACTGTTTGTGAATAACTCTTTGTAAAGTTAATCTTAATATTAGACTAGCTGTGTATGTTGTTTCTAACTTTGCTTTAGAAGAATAGTCAAGATGAGAGTTATCCAAAAGCTTCATCTCCTTTGGAACAAGTAAAAACAGATTCTCCGATTGTTGCTGAGCAAGTAAGAAATGTTTGTTTGATTTCAAAGTTTTCCAGTCAGGAGACTTCAGACAAAGGGGAGCTTCATCACAGCCACGTATGTATTACAATACTGGCTTTTAATTACACAGTCATTTCTATGGTGATAATGCTAAAATTTCATATTTACAATTAGGAATATGTTATGTCCAGCATAAAGGACAGCCCTTGATAGAAAAGTAAAAGTATATCTATTCTTTTCTGAGAGAAGGGTTATTTCATATCTTTCTGTCAAGGTAACTGTGCTTTTTCCTTTAAATTCTATAGCTTTTCCTTTTCAGGTTTCTCTGAGATTATTGGAAATTGCTTGTGAGGGTGGCTTTTCTTTTGGGTGGGAGATACTTAAATGTAAAACTTGAGGAGGTGGTTCCAGCACTAGTGGCTCTGTGGTACAGGCATGGCTGGACAGAGCTCAGAGCAGAGTTTTTCACACAGTGATGCAGCTCAGGTCTCTTTGGGTGTGTTCCTAGCTACTACTTCCCTCTGGGAATGGTGGTAGTCCAGATAAGGCTGAGTCATCAGCGTCACCAGCCATGATGGGATTCAGATTTGTTTGTTTTTACAGAACCTGACTGAGTGCTTGCCGAGCGTAACTCCGACACCCTCTCCAGTCTTCTCTGAGGTGCATTTACCTCCAGCAGTGCCTTCTGTACCAGCCATTGTGCCAGCTTGGCCAAGTGAGCCAGCAACATACGGACCAGCAGGTTTGCAGAGATACTAACATAAATCACAAATTACTAACCCCGGAAAATACTTCAACTCTTGTCACTAAGTTGAAGATACCCCCAGGAGACACTGTCTCATATAATTTCACATTCTAAAGGCAGGAATTCCATTCATAGGAATGTAGTTTCTCACTGCTGAAAGCTAGTGAGAGTTCTAACAGATCTTTGATTGCCTGTATGTACAGTTTGCTTGATTCCCATCTTGAAGTTATAAGAGGGTTGTGTACTTAATTGGCTGTTTTCCCTCTTGAGTGGGATAGCATTGAGTTTTGAGGATCTGCTTAAGGTAGACTATATTGTCAGCACATTGACACCTGGTGTTTGTGCTCTCTGTCCCATGTAATAATAGGCTCCTTGGTTGACTCCTGAGGACTTGGGGCTTGTATGTCTGAAACTAATGAGAGCCATTTGGATCTGAGCTGCAAAGCCAGTGTAATGGGTTTTGGTGTGCTGTGCATATCTTGTGGTCTGTGAAGTTGGATTAGAATCAATAGTGCTCATTAGATCAGGTGGTGAATTTTCTCTCACACTACTGTTTCTGTACAAGAACCAGCTTTCAGATCAGCCTGCTTTGTTCGCATGTGACAGTCACAATTTTGTCTCACTTGACTGTGTCTGTGACAGAAGCTGTGCAGCCCAGTTGATCTAAGCTCAGATTCAGAGTTGACTCTAAATGACTAGTCAGAATGAGAACTTCAGGAATTCACATGAAAGTTTCATTTCCCCCATTTTTTCCTCCTTCCTATTTCCTTCTGGCATTCATAATTTTAAAAAGAAACAAGGGATCAGTCTAGCTATTTCTGGAAATCTTAGCTTACTTGTTTCATTCTTTCTGAAAGCTGTTCTCTGCAATTTGAATCTGCTGCATCAAATCTTTCTGATGTCTTTTGGTTTGTGATTATGTATATACAGATAGGCATTGATACCCGTTCCATATATATATATTTATATATATATATGTATCTATGTTGGGTTTTTTCCCTCTAGGTATTCCAACCCAAATACCTGCTTCTTCACTGATGCCAGGACCAGCAACAGGACCTGACTCTATTGTATCACAGGCTCAGGTAACATCTGCTTCAGGTGCTGGAGTTCCTGTGTGGCTACAAGCAGTTAACCAGCCTTTAATGCCTTTGCCTCAGACTCTGAATCCCTACCAGGATCCGCTTTACCCTGGATTCCCTTTTAATGAAAAGGGAGAAAGAGCCGTTGCACCTCCTTACTCCCTGTGTAGTACTGGGGAAGACTTACCTAAAGGTGAGAAGTCTGAATTTGACACCCTTTTTTCTGATAGGTCTTCTTTTCTTAAAATGTAGATAAACACAACTTTTTTTGGTCCTGTTGTCATTCTTTGCCCAAAGATCCACTAGTTGTCATTCCATGATTTAAGATGTGGGAGGGAATATTGATTAGAGTTGTAACTCTTTAGTTTGCATTGCCAACATTTTGACTGTTTCAGGTGGTCACACCTGGAAATCTGGTAGGATCATTCTGTAGTTCTTGGCTTGCCCCATCATAACTTGAGGTTTTGTGTATGTTAAGAATTATCTTTGGAGAACTGCTCCTGTCAGAGTAATAGGTTTGCTCATGTCACTTAAAAGCTTGGAAGCTGTTGAGCATTTCCTTACTGATCTGGGAACATACAGGTTTTGGCATATTATGAATACAAGGTATGTCCATAAAGAACATCTCATGGCTGACTGCACAGTGGTGTTTGTTTAGTGAACTGTTTCTTTAAAAACTAGAAGTTAACAGACTGTTAAAACTGAAATTTAAACTGCTGTTGTGTTCTAGATATCTTACTGTGGCAAAAAAACCCAACTAATCAATTGAAGACATGCAAGTAGGAACTTAATACTGGTGTTCTCTACTGAAATGGAATTTCATGCAGTTTTTGTATTAGATGAAATATTTTAGGTCCTTATAAATATTTTTGTTCTTTTATTTTTAGATAAGAATATTCTTAGATTTTTCTTCAATCTTGGTGTGAAGGTAACTCTTCAAGCTTCCTTATGTTTTCATTTTTGTTACAAAAATTGCTTGTAAATAATTGTTGGTACTTGGAGTGCAGAAGTTTTGTTGCTGCAGGTGTATGTTTCAAGTCCATCTTTTTGAAATACTTCATTTTGTGTTCTGTTACTGGGATTCCAGCAGTTGTCCACAGTGCAGTTCAAATCAGCAGAAATCAAATTCATGTCAGTAGCATAGTGAGGCCTTTTGGCTTCCACCTGTGGCTGTACAGCCAGCAAATTGTGCTTTACAAAGTCACAGATAAATTGTGAATGTGAAGATACTTATTTTGGATGACGTGCATAGGGAATGAGAGAACTGCCCTCAGACTTCAAACCTGGCTGTGTACTGGCAAAGCCACTGCAGTACAGATCCCAAAATCTTTCCCTGGGGACACTCCCTTAAGTACCCTGCATGTCTGTTCTTTCTGCTTATGTTAATGATAATAGTATTCTATTATTTCAGTAATTATAGTAGTGTTTATGTGTACATGTGGTGCAAATCTGTGTGTGTCGTTGGGGGAAGAGGCTTAGCCAAATCCCAGCATCTTCCATTGCTTGGCAAGGCAAAGTTGTTTGCTTTCGTTCTCTCTTCTGCACAGAATATGTTTCTTTTTAATCTCCTTACTTCTTTTGTCAGGCAGATGACTTGGGGCAAGGTGCTGAGAGCTCTTGGGCTTATTTAATGGGACTTTGGCCATAGCAACGATATTCTTTTGTGTCTGGGCATAGAAAGAGGGGAATATTCAGCAGAGTTTCCAATGTAAATTGGATACCTCTGCCTAATATAAGTCTCTGTGCATAATAGGAAATCTGGAAGTCATTAATATTAGCAAGTGTCACCACATTGCATTTAAACAGTATGAGTTTCCTTAGCAGTAAGGAGAGTCCCAAGCATGTCAGCTGCTGTGGATTATTTAGGATCTAGCCTGTCATTTGGTGCTTCAGCACCATCTGCCGGTCCTAGCCCACATTCTAGTGGCTGTGCTGCTCCACTGGTGTCACAGGGTACAGCAGGCCCAGGGGTACAGCCTGTGCATTGCTGCTCTGCTCCAGACTTGCCCTGCCCACACCCTTCCACTGAGAGGGAAAGCGCTCCAGCAGAGGAGCTCTGCATAGGCTTTTCAGGATGGTTTGCTCCAGGAACTGTTCTACAGAGTCCAGTTCATTAACATGGAGGTAGAGAAAAGGGTAGGGATCACCACCTGAGGTGGACAACTTAATGTTGTGGCCTTTGCAAAGGGACGTCTAGTAGAAGAAATTGCCAATTGGTAAGTGTGATTCTGGAAAACAAGTTTGAGATGTTTCTCTTCAAACACATAGCTAGAACTTACTAAGTTCTAATGACTTACTAAGTCAAGCTTTATGTCTTTAACCATCTAGAAATCATTACTAAGTTTTCTTACTGATCGTAACTGTTGCCCATTGCAACTGCATTTGGAAAAGAAGCAAAAAATAAGAACACCATCCTAGAGTCATAGGATTTAGAATTGAGGGCAGTCACGTAAAGAAATTTCACTTTTATCTCCTATAATTAAGTGTTTTGAAATGGTAAATAACTGGTGTGCTTTTATGTCTCTCTGAACATTCCAAAGACCAAATAACTGATACAATTTTTTTTTTCCCTGCTGTCTTGCAGGCATACAGTTGTCCCATGTGGGCACCCCATTCTTACCTGTACCCCCTGCACCAGGCCTATTTAGCTGCTTGTAGAATGTACCCAAACGTGTCCCTTCCTGTGTATCCACACAACCCCTGGTTCCAGGAGGCTGCTCCTGCTCAGAATGAAAATGAGACTGCACGACCAAACAGGCACTTTGCTGTCCAGACCGAGGCCAGGTCCAATGGTCAGATTCCACCGGTTGACAGATCTCCATCACTGCCTCTGATCATACCTTCAGCTCAGGTGACAGAAAGTCAAGGACAGGTTTGTGTCGAACCAGAGAATCCAGCGCAAGCTCTTCATGCGAACTACGAGGAGTCCCTGAGAGGGAAAAATATCTTCCCTCAGCCGCCCTTTGGACACAATCACTTTCTAGGAGCTGTTCCAATAGCACCTCCTTTCTTTCCTCACTTCTGGTATGGGTACCCAGTTCAGGGTTTCATTGAGAATTCAGTAGCGAGACCTAATCTTGTCTTGTCTCCTGAGGACAAAGAGGCAGCAGCAGCTGGCACCTCTGCCAGCATGTATGTGGGCAAAGAATGCAGCCCTCCAGTTCCTGCAGTGAACTGTGCAGAGCAGCTCCAGAAGACCAACAGTGGCAGCGGCCCCAGTACCGTCCCATTCCCAGTGACTGCTGCAGGGACCCCAAAAGACACTTCAGCCAGGGCCTCTCAGCTGGAGCAAACCTGTCCTTCAGCCACTCCTAAGCAGAAAGCAGCCGGGCAGCAGCATCGCCCTCCACAGACACAGGGCCCAGAGAGGCCGACGGCAGGGCCTGGCACGCAGCCACTGCTGGCAGAACCTCCCAAAAATGAACTGAAACCCGGCACTCCCAGCCGGAAGGAGAGGCCTGCTAAAGGGAGAGAGTCCAAGGGCGCTGGGAACATGCAGATGGAAAGCAGGGCCCAGAGAACGAGGGAGGAGAGCTCTGAAGATGACACTGAGGTTTCCGACATGCTGAGGAGTGGCAGATCCAAGCAGTTCTATAACCAGACTTACGGAGGAGGCAGAAGGCCCAGACCTGACAGGGGTTATTCCAGCAGGGGAGGATACCAGTTCCAAAGAAATGAGGAGGCCTGGAAAGGACCACCCAGCAGAAGCAGAGATGACAGCTACCATTATCAGAGAAACTTTAGAGGGCAGCCATATAGGAACGACAGGAGAAGGGCAACATTGGGAGATAATCAGAGGGGGCAGCAAGCATAAAATGAGCGGATAATTGGAAAATTTAAGTAAAAAGTAATTTGAAGTAGCAGTTAAAAATCTTAATTTCTTTTTAGTGAAGTTCAATGATATGTTTAATTTTGGCTAATTTTTGGCAAAAAAAGACTAGGAGGATGTCAAGTCATACCATAGGGTTTTTGGGGGGATTCTAGAGTTTGGCTTAGCAGTTTTTCTTCAATGTCAAATTACAAAAAAAATAGGTTTAGTGTTTGATTATTTTTTTTTTTCCCCACAAAGGTTTGCGTTTGTGATAGAAGATGGGTATGTGCGTTTACTAGAGTGACAAATGACAGCATTTGATGTGATCTAGAGTCTAAAATTGACGGTAACATTGCACCAAATATAAATGTATATTTTATCATACAATGCCTTAGTTCTGAACTAAGCTAAAGGAATTCTCAGCCTACTGCACTGTTGTCTCTGATATGCTTCCAACCCAAAGGCCTTTCATCTCAAAAAATAAAAAATAATCTGTCAAACTTGAATGTTTCTCTTGGGTGTTACACGTATGGCAGCCAGCTAACCCTGTGTCTTAGGTATGTTGTATATAGTTCTTTTCATAATCATAGGGTATATTTTTGAATTTTAAAAAGCATTTATTTGTTGAAATCAAAATCAAGACAAGCAGTCAAGAATACCTGTGTATGAACTGATAAGAACGGCTGTTTCCACCATGAATTCTTCTTAATGCTGGTGTGACTAGAATGGTGCCTATGCCAACTGAATAATTACAAAGACAATAAAAATGTAGATGCTATGCATTTCCAAAATAATTCTGCATCTGTTATAATAGCAGAAGTTTTTTTATTGCCACTTTAACACTAATGCACTGACAAATCCTAGATATTTTGTGAGGAGATGCATAAAGTACATGTTACATTTTTTTAAGTTTGTACGATTGAGCTACTGTTCAGTATTCTTTTGTTGTTGCACTGTTGATGTTTTGCATGTACAACTCGTTGCTGGACTACTTTTAAAAGCAAGAATGGAGAGTCTCAGTGTGCTCTGCTCTTCCCTACAATTCAGAAGAAAGTGGCTTCTGCCTTATATTTTTACACTGTGTCAGAGTTCTGATGCTGTTTCTTCTGAGCCCAGTTACGATCTCTGCAGTGTTCCTGTTGCCTTTGCAGTCTGGATGTTCAGCTGTCCAGGCTCGGAGAGTGCAGTGTGCACAGTATTCACTCAGCTCTGTTGCTCTGTAAAATTCAACTGTTGTGTATATTTTTATATCTCTGTATACAGTAGTGTAGGTGATGGTACCCATTCATGTGTCTGAGATTGTACACCCTTGGTGCAGAAACCAGAGTGATAGTTACATGATAAAGAGTTTGTTTTCAGATGCATGCTATGTATAAAACCCTAATTAAAATAAATGTTTTGTCTTTTCACTTGCTTTCTAAATTTTATGTATGTATTTAAACCTGTTTCAATGGCATGAAATGAAATGTTCTTACACACCCAGTTGTAGTGAACAGCAGAATGACGAACAGCATATGGCAGGCAGCAAACAAAAAGAAGCTATAAACTGCATTTGGAGTTTTTGTTTGTAGGGGTCATACTGGAGGCTTTTTGGTTTTTCTTTTTTAAATTAAATACTTTTTCATTCAGGATTTCAAAAGAGGCAATCATCATTTTTTCAGGTTGAGAAAATGCAGCAAGCACTGGGATTTAACTCTTTTTACCTTTGTGATTCTTTGTTTATTTCAACTCCTTTCAAAATCATGAAGAGGGCTGCTTGGTGAGTTTACTGGTGAATTTTAAACTCTAGCTCTGCCCCAGATTTGTGCAGCAGTCACTGAACCAATCACTGTCATAGAGCAGGTAGTTCATCACAAGCTTTGTTCCAGGAATGAAGCCAGTGACACTTCCTACAGAAATCTGTTGGGAAACACTGGGGAAGAGAGGCATGGCAGAACTGGGCTGGGGGGGGGGGAATGTGCTTTTACAATCTGTGTTTAAAAAACAACTTCTTTCAGCTGGGCCTGCACTGCCTTGCTACTCTAGGACAGTGAAGGACTGGAAGGTGTAGGTGTGTTTTCTGTGATACTGATCAAGTAAGTCTAGTTTCCTCTCTTGCTGAAGGAGTAGTAGTAGACTGATTGGCCCAACTCTGGCTTATGGCAAGATGTTTTAGACTAATTGCAAGATCCTCCTGTTAATATATGTAACATTCAGCATATAAACAGCTGTGAGACACAGCTGAACCACATCTTTACCTTATCCTTCTTACAACTGATCCAGAGAAGACTGCACAACTCCAGTCCAAAGGCAGTTAAGCTGTGCAGAGGAGAACAAGTTTAGTCAGCCTTTGGAAGTTTTTGTCTGACCAGTGCAGTTGTGTAGGGATGTACTCAATACCTGCACTTCCTTAGAGAGTCCCAGTCGCTCTGCTGGTGTAGTACAGGTGCATTGCTGTTACAAGACAGAGGGAGGCAGCGTGTATATAGTGCTCAGTACTGCCAAGGTTATGAAATAACCATGTTACTAACACACAGAATGGCAAAACCACACAAATTACCCCCACTCCCTTCTGTAGCTTCTGAGGCAAAAATATAAACAAGGAACAAAGCCTTGTTTTCTCATACTTTTCACATGCCAGTGAAGGCAGAGAATTGTTGAATGGAAAACATCCTTCCTTTCAAGACACATAGCTGAAAGTTTTTTTTAAGATGTCTGCTTAAGTAAGCAGAAACCTTTAAATTTTCCTTCTGGTTCCTTGAAGGACCTTATTGCATAGGGAAGTAAGTTTTTAACAAGGTTTCTTTAAGTTTTTTTTTGTCATAGTAAGGCTTGTCAAAGCTTTTTACTTTAGGAAAAAGTAATTCCTGCATCTTAGCCTTATGAAAACGTTACGGAAGAGTGAGTTGGATAGATGGAAATGTTTATATTCTTTAGGATTATTTCACTGATTATTTTCATCTCACTAGGTCTGAGAATATGCACAGGGACAGATGACTAAAAAAAGGTGTAGCTACCTTCAGTGTGAGAAAAGGGTATGTGACATTATATAAATATATACACTTCTGAATTAGTGATTGAAGAAATTCTGCAGTGTCACAAATTAGGTGGGTATTTTATTGTTTAAACCCTCAGCCAGAGAGACTCAACCTTTTTAAAAGAGGAGTTGCTCTTGTAGCGTGACAGTAAACTTCCCTCTTATACAGAAAACAGCTTCAAAGATTTATTTTAAAATGAGGAAGTTCAGTCAGTACTTGGTACATGAGTAGGATATATTGAATTGAAAACCTCCCATAAATTTTGAAAAGTCAGGAGACCCATTTGCACAATTTCATGGTGGTCTATATTGAAATTATTACACTGAAAATAGGGCTGTGTCACCAAAATATAGAAAGTGGCAGTTTTACTCAGACTAGGATGTTTACTGCTACTATCTCAGATGTTAAAGGCAGCAAGAGATTATAAACTCTGAAAGATTAATTGTTCTAAAACCTGATCTGAGCCATCTCATCACAGCTGTTTAGATTCCAATATGCATGTCTAGATGCCAGTTAAAAAGATGCCGGGATTCAATATTTAGTCATCCAGGAAGAAGTAGTTTCCACTCTTCTTTTGTTCCACATCCTTGGAAGAGAAAAAAGGTCACCATTACTTGAAATAGTCTTGGGCAGACTTGAGCAGGCTTGAACATAACTGAAATAAAAGACACTTATCTAAACTCTTTCTGCTTCTGTTATTACTCTTCCTAGTTTCACAAGCTGTTTTTCCAGCACAGCAAAACCACCCTGTCAATCTTAATTTTGTGCCATATTTTAAAATCTGGCTTCATATTAAACAATCCTGGCCTGTACTGCAAAGGTGCTCCTCACTTACCTTGATGGAATTGAGTTTGTTTATTCTTGGTCTGTAGTTGTTGGGGTCTCTTCTAAAAGTGATTTCAAGCTGAGATAAAAACTTATTCATTCCAGCCAGAAGAGTCTGTGGACTGTTGAGACAGAAGAATATTTTAACTGTATTTTCAGAAGCTTTATATCATATGATTATAGGCAACTTTCATCTCCATTCTGAGCTCACTCAGGTCTGGAAATGCCAATGTGAGCTGTATTTGACATACCAAGACATGCTACTTTTTTAGTCAAACCCTATCTCAGATGCTGCTGAAAGATGAGAGTAGTAGCTCATTGTGGCTTCCAGCTGTGGCCTTTTCTTTCTTTTTATTTTGTATCTACGTGTGTGTGCTGGCACACTTATTTACATTCAAGGAAACAAAAACCCAACACTTACACCATAAGCAAAATCTAACAAAGATCATAACATAACTTTCTCAATGATTGTGATTATTGAATTCCAACTTCTGTTGTGTTCTTGGAAGGAATACTACCAAAGCCAGGGTAGCAGGGAATTGCCGTGGCAGACTAGTGTGTTTACTTCATCTAGATTGTGCCAAGTACTCACTGTTCTAAAAGCCCGTTTTCTAATAAGGCTGGTCATTAAAAAGTCTCTAATCTAAATGAAATTATTTACAGGAACAAAAGGAGACATCAAAAGGGACAGCTCTGAAAGAGTAAAACCATGCACACTGCATGCTGGTGTCAAGACTTGCCCTTCACTACATCTGCATACAGGTCCATTAGTACACTGCTTTGTTTTAATGCATCTGAAAGTTATTTTCTGAAGGATAGTTTACAGTTGGTACTTTTTTCATTCCTTGATCTCTTCTGATTGTTATTTAGCCATCATGCAGTTGCTTAAGGCCAGGTCTAGTTTTTTAGGGTTTGTATATGTTCCTCAATCCTGCCCAAACACTGGTTTTAGGCAGCCTGTAAGTGAGGATCAATGCCATTTTCTTTTCCATGATTCAAAACAAAAGTTGGAACCCTCAGGACAGTCCTGGATGCAGCTTAAATTTTCACAGGCAGGAGTGACAATCTTACTTAGTAATCCCAACAAATCTCTTACCTGTTTGCCAGTGTGTTCTTGGAAGGAATGCCATCAAAAACAATCACACGATCAGCAAGATATGTAGCCATGATAAAATCATGTTCTACCACAAAAGCTGTTTTTTTAGCATGGAGAATGAAACTGAAATGAGGGGAAAGAAGAAAAGAAGAGAGAGTAATGTGAACTCACTGTAATACTACTGCAATTTTCAGTTCCTTACCCACCATGTGTACTCACCGTTTAATGACTCTGGCAGCCATCAGACGCTGTTCAGAGTCCAGATATGCTGAGGGCTCATCAATCAGATACACATCTGCTGGTTTACCCAGACAAAGAGCTAATGCCACACGCTGCAACTCGCCACCAGACAGCGTCTGAACCTGGTAGCGGGGTAAACAAGCCCATGCTTAGTTCAGGTACAGGTTGAGAGTTAAGACAATGAGGATGTTGATTCAAGCAATTAATACCTCCTGGTCAATGATGTTTTCTATCTGAAGAGGTTTCATCACATCAGTTACAAACTGGGGGTGTGTATAGGCATCTCTGATCTTCTCGTGCAGCAACTGACGGACACTTCCCTAGCAAAAGGAAAATGTTGCCATTCAGTTTCATGCTCCACAAGAAACAAGCAGAAACAGAATAATAAAAATCTACCTAAAATAAATACGGATATAAAATAGGCATAAAAGAATTTCTATCTGTGTGTTTTGTAGCAAACACGATACTTAATAAATAAGGCTGAAATGTACCGTAGATTTAGGGCTGATTTTCTGTGGTTTGTAGCTGACATTTAGGACTGGAACCTCACCTATAAAAAGACAGAATTAATAGTGTAAACAAGAGAATTTCCAGTATCCTTAAAATAGGTTTCAGCTTGGGTGTAACACATTACCTCCTTCATCAGGTGTAAGTCTTCCTGCAAGCATTCGGATAAATGTTGTTTTACCAGTTCCTAAAATAAAATACAAGTTACACATTAATCACTTTTGACTAATTTAGACCTTTAACAAGTCACTGATGCAACAACAACTAAGACTATTTAATAAAGAATACATTTTAAAATTAGACTGCTTTGAGAATTCCTGTATTATCTTCCAGCACTTGCTACTACTTGCTTTTTCAAATGGAAGAGACATCTTAAAACTGCCACCTAAGTTTTTAAAACAGAGTAGGTGACAAACATGGGGGCACTTTTAACTTCACATTCTTCCTAGTCAGGGGGCTCATGCTGTGACACCTTCACCAGAAAACAAGCAGCTCAACCTGACTCAAACCAGTAATTTTGAAGCCTGGCTCCCAAAGTGAAGAAGGGCTTTAGAAGCATATTCAGGGCTGGAGAAGCAGTTTCCAACATAAATTGCACTTACCATTTTCCCCTAACATCACCATAATTTCAGAATCAGTGAATTCTCCAGCTACAATGGATAGTTCAAATTCTCCCATCTTTTTTTTCATTCCTGGATATTTGTACATACACATCTTTTTAACC